AGATGGATATCTAAAGTTCTAAACTTTATTTTGTAAAGTTTTTGGTTATGAAAAAAGTGTTCTATATGTAATAAAACACATGATCTGATCCAATTAAAAATAGATAAGAAAAACATTTTGGTTCATAGAATCGATTGACAAATTTTTGGGACGGATTGTTTAGAGATGGTTATGATGGAAAAAGTATTTATTAGAATAGCTACCGTTTGTCAATTCTTTGGATGAGCTCAACTTTCTTACAAACAAGAGTTTAGAAAACATATTCTTGTCAATAGAGCATTCGACCTATTTTCTCAACATTTTGCGAGAAAGTAGAATCGAACTCCTTTGTTTAAAGATTTGCAGAGGTTGTAATGCCACTTACGCTAGTAAAGCCGAGCAAAAATTTTGGTAATTTTTTTTCCTAATTTTTCCGAATTGAAACACAGAGAAAAATCGTTGGGTCCGTAGAGGTTATATTTATAGTGTTGTTGATTCGTTTATAAACCTTCTTTTTCCACTTTGAGACACATTTTCGGGTTTTGTAAAAAAATAATAATAATTAAATAGCGAGGTTGAGAAAAAAGCAAATTAGAAAGAAGAAAAAAAGGATCAAGTGCAGCTAACTGTGAATTTCACATGGCTATTGATGAAGTCTAGTTTCACTTTGGGTTTTTAATTTCCTCAAAGGACATTTTTGATTTTAAATAGTTAATAGTTTCTATATGCCATACATGATTATGTATCTAGAACCTATATTATGCAATTTCTATTTTCAGGCTTTTCAATTTAAATGTAAAGACCGGTTAAAATTTTATTAGAGATAACGTAGGGTTGTTGCCTTGGAGACAAGAACATGCTTTATCTTGCTGGCTTTTATACATCTCTTTTTTTTTTGCTTTGAGATTTTAGAAATTTTGACAATATACTATTCTTGTATTGGTAGATAACTTCTTATATAGCTTACATGGAGTTTAATGTCTTTGAGAACAAGTTATCTCGTGTTAATGAGAAAATAGTATGCAATAATTGGAGATTAACCCCAAAAGATGTTAAACAGCTGGATAGAATCACTTTGTGGGTTGAGTCTTTTAGGGATTTTGTCATGTGACAATATCCAAATGAGTTTTGATTTTGATTATGGAAATTAATTAACCTGTTAAACTAAAAAGTGAACTTTAAAACGGGGAAAAACTATATAAAACTTGATTAGTAATGATCTAAGTATAGCTTAGTGTAAGTACATTACCAACTTGTTAAGCTGCCAGTTAAACCACATGTTGCCATTATGGTCCATACTTTCTAGCTAGGGTTTATATATGATTATCTACCACATCTTCCTTGCCATTTTTATTATATAAATCTAAAGCTTAATTTTGTCTTGATTAATTTAAAATAAAATCACGTTTCCGTCTAGTATGAATCGATTAAACTTATCATTTTGTTGGTTAATAGTCGCAAAATGGTAAACTTTCAACCAAGACACCTTGTTGATTTAAATAACTACAAACACAAACAAAAAAACCATTTAAGAAAACATTTATAATTCAAATTTTATGTTTTAAAAGTCTACAATACTACAACCATAGTTTTGAATTGGTAAATTTGTATCGGATACAGTACAAGGTATATCGTTTTTATAGTTATTGATCACAAAAACGGTATAATACGTTTTTTACCAAAACAATTACATTCAGTTTTATTTATACCCTTTTTCAGTTACTTTTCACGTTTTTATATTATTTATACAATTTTAGGTCACTGATCAAACCCAACAACACGTAAAATTTTGGGTCACGTATCAAACTCAACACGTATTAAAACTCCATAATACGAAGCTGCATTTTCATCAATTTCACAACATCAAATATTCATGATTTAAAAATTTCAGATTTTGAAAGCCTCAATGTTTACGAAATCCAATCAAATGAGAATTTCTTAAAAATTTATAAATTCGAGATTAAACCCAATCCAAATTTTGGCATATTATGAGAATATTCGGAAGCTTGTAAATTATCATGAGAAAACTTATCCATAACACTCTGACACTATCTGACATCTCGGAGACTTTTTAGGAACACAATCCAAACTTCCACAAAATGGCACCACCGTTCGATTTGCCCGGAGACGACACCGTTGCCGGAATCCAGATTAATCCTCCGGCGAGTGGTCGTGGTACTTCTGTATACAGCGAAGTCCAAGCGAGTCGTATCGACCACTCGCTTCCTCTTCCTTCCGTCCTTAAAAGCCCCTTTAAGATCGTCGACGGACCTCCGAGCTCCGCCGCCGGAAATTCAGGTCAATCAATCCCGATTTCCTTAAAGCTTGATTCTTGACAATTTGATGATGATGAATATAGAAAAAGATTTGATTTTTTTGGTTTTTGGATATTGGGTCAATCTAATTTTGATGTTCTTGTTGTTGTTGCAGAGGAGATTGCGAAATTGTTCCCGAATTTGTTTGGACAACCATCGGCTTTATTGGTTGCTGACCAATCTAATGCAATTCCATCAGAACAAAAGCTTAAGATTGGTGTTGTGTTGTCTGGTGGTCAAGCACCTGGAGGACACAATGTTATTTGTGGAATATTTGGTTAGACTATAATGATCTTTGTGCAAATTTTTTTCCTTTTTTAGAGTTTTCAAGTTTTTTGAATTGAGATTGTTTTTGTTGTTGTGATAGATTATTTGCAGGAATATGCGAAAGGAAGTAGTTTGTTTGGTTTTCGTGGTGGTCCAGCTGGCATTATGAAAGGCAAATATGTTGAGCTTACTTCTGATTTTGTGTATCCTTATAGAAACCAGGTATGTGTTGATAATGTATCTTGTTGATGAAATGGAGAAGAAACTCTTCCATTGATATTTTTCGGTTTTTTGCGGGTATCTCTGTCTTGGTCGAATATGCTTCATTTGAGTTTGAGCAAGTTTGCAGTAGCTTATGGCTCAGTCATCAGTGACTAGAGTTTTTCGCATATTTTGCGCTGGAAAGAAAATTCTTGAAGAGAAAGTATATGAAAAAGTTTACTGGTCGAATCTTTACAGAATATTGTTACGCTTGCATCAATGAATGTGACGTGTATTCTTCCGGGACTGTTGGTTGAACAACCTCCAAGAGAGATCCTCGCAGATTGATACGGTAGTTCGCCTCTGTTATCTTGTCTATAGATATTGAGGCAAATAACCTCAAATCTCTCTCCCAAATCCACAATGAGGACCACACCTGTATGAGATGAGAATGCGTCGGAACACTAAGCATCGATGTTTTTCCAAGCACCAGTGTTGGAAGAATACACCTCACATTCATAGACTGTAACAATATTTTGTAAAATTTTGGCCTTCCTTGGAAATAAACTCTCATATACCCTTTCTTCAGGACTTTTCTTTCCAGCGCAAAATATGCGAAAAGCCATATGCTACTCCGATACTTGGCTCAAACTCAACGAAGCTCTCCCTTGGGGAAGAAGGAGAGTTTCCCTCGTCCAAGGGTTGCTTAATCAGATGTGCAGATCATGAAGATAATAAAGAGTCATGTTCGTGTTAGTAATTTCTATTGTGCTCTTTTGCAGGGTGGGTTCGATATGATATGCAGTGGAAGAGACAAGATAGAAACTCCTGAGCAGGTAAAAATGTTTCTTCTTTTTCTTTGTGCTTGTCAAGATTTTGACAGTGTCGAGGTTTCATAAGTGACACTTAGCTATAGCATCAGTTTTTGCTACGCATTGCAGTTTCAACAAGCTGAAGAGACTGTAACAAAGATGGACTTGGATGGTCTTCTGGTTATTGGTGGAGATGACTCCAATACTAACGCTTGTCTCCTTGCTGAAAACTTTAGGTATTTTTTGAAGAGTGGCTCGTTTATTAATTGTTAAAAATGAATGAGTTCAACTTCTCGTTTTGCATTTTAGTGATTTGGTATATTTCGCATTCGGTTTTCAGAGGTAAAAACATGAAAACTCGGGTTATTGGGTGTCCAAAGACAATAGATGGCGATTTGAAGAGCAAAGAAGTGCCCACGAGTTTCGGATTTGATACGGCTTGCAAGGTAAGCAAGTTATAAATAAATATTGAAACAGTGCATCACTTAGTTATGTCTTCTCGTAGACGATCTCATCAAAGGTTTTTTTTTTATGTGATTATATTCATGAAGATATACTCAGAAATGATTGGAAATGTTATGATCGATGCACGTTCCACGGGAAAATACTATCACTGTGAGTGATTTTATCTTAAGCAAATGAATTAGCTTTGTACAAATTATGATGTCATTCATCTACTAATTAATAATCTCTACAGTTGTGCGTCTTATGGGCCGTGCTGCTTCTCATATTACACTTGAATGCGCTTTGCAAACGCATCCTAACATTACTATTATTGGAGAAGAGGTAACTTTGTGTTGCTCAAGCTTCATTTGTAGTCTTCAGTTTGCTAAATTTACTAATATGGTTTGAGCAACCAAA